TTTTTTTTTTTTGTCTTTATGTTACTACCATACTAAAGTAGATTCAAGCACTGTGATTAGTCATCTTTTTAAAAAAAGTTAGCCTTTATAGATACATTGTTAGCTCTGTTTTAAAAATATGGCTTTTATTATAATTCAGATATGGTGAGGCCAAGAGATCAGGAAATGATTGTTTCTGAGGAGCCAGTCATTTCCCCAGTTTTAACAGGGGGTTGGGAGGTTGGGGGGGGGGAGGGTTGCACATCAGGACACACAGCCTCACACAAGGAAGCACCAGATCCATGGGAGGCAGAGGGAGCCTTTGTTGGTATTTCATGGGAAGGAACAGGCAAGGCAGTGTAAGCAGGCTTAGGACTAATTCGAATAAATCTGGCAATTCTGGGGATTGGGGGCTGTCCCTGACAATCTATTACAGGGAGATCAGAGCAGAAGACTAACTCAAGCATAAAGCCAATAAAGACCAGAGTTGCAGTCATAGGCTTTGGACCAGTTGGGGTGCCTATGAAAGATAAGTTTTATGGGGCATCTGTCTGCTATCTCTAGAGATTGGCTGGTCCTGGATGGGGTTTCCTAGAGTCAATAAGGCCCCAGATCAGAAAATGCAGAAAATGAACAGGCATAATAAATCATACACCAGAGACTTAATAAAGCATTGAAGCCCTGGGTCGAGGCAGAGGCAAGCCCAGATTTTCAAGTACCGTAGGGCAGAAAAGACTAAGAATTGGATTTACCTGGGACATCCTCTCCCGGTGCTTGGCCTCCAGCCTCTCCTTGGCTTTCTGGAAGTGGGCATGCTCATTTTCGTCACCAGGCGTCTCAAGATACTTGTCAACGGCGTCAGGGGTGCTGGCTGCTGTTGTAGGAACTATATAAGGTAGAAGGGAAGAAGGTTTGAGAAGTCGAACACAATGTCCAGTCCTTCATATGAAAGCCAAACTTTCAGTTATTTGCCAGGACAAAGAATTTAGTAAAGAAGCGCAAATGAGATGTTAATGCTGTTTGAGAGAACAACG